AAATATGAATTCCAACAGTCCTTACTTCTGATCTCAGGCTTGCCCCAGTTGGTCCTGATCACTGCTTTGTCCAGTTTGATGACGATGTCGTTCTTCACACCAGAGAGCTGAAACACACAGTCGTACTTCCTCCAGTCTTCAGGTGTGACTGATGAATGAAGGTCCAGATCAACACTCATCTGGAAGGATCCATCGTGGTTGAGGAGGATCTCTCCGTGGTTCACGTCCTCATGAAGCTCCACTCCATCTTTCCTCCAGATGAGTGTGGCACTGTCAGGGTAGAAACCTGTAGCGTGGCAGCTGACTGGAGAGGAGGGAGTCTTCTGGAGGAGAGACACTGAGGGAAGCTCTGGAGAGTAAACAGAGAGACAGTTTATAGACAGTATTTAGACTGTATTAACTTATATTAACATTATAATTCCTGTAATGTATTTTAAAGGTTTTAGTAACAAACACACACTATATACATGTATGCAACACTATACATCGATCAGCCATAATGAGAACAATAGTTAATAGCCATCACAATTTGGCCTTTGTCAAAGTCGCTCAAATCCTCACGCTGCCCATTTTTCTGCTTTGAATACATCAACTTTAAGACCAAAATATTATATCCCTATATGCCTAAAATATCCCACCCACTGACAGGAGCCATGATAACCAGATAATCAGTGGCATTCACTTCACCTGTCAGTGCTCTATTGTTACGAAGTGTAATTGAGAAAAAGCGGGAAGGAGAGAGGGGGAAAAGACAGATGAAGAGAGGTAAAGTGATACAGAGGGATGAAGAGAGGTGAGAGAGAATGGGAGAAAAAGAAATGTGTGTAAACTAAGACAGAGTGAGTCTCTGTATGTTGGTGATATTTATTGTGATGTTACTGTTGGTTAGAAACTGAAGAGGAAGATGAAGATTGTTGTGTCCATTAAACTACATCAGGTCATGTGATTCTACCTGTTCTCAGCAGAGAGCTCCTCCCATAGTCCACATACTTCTTCAACCAGTCAATGCACTCCTGGGTAAGGTATTGTTTTGTCTGCACTATCTGAGCTCTGTCATTATCCCACTTGTATGTGGTAATGACAGCCTGTGGCACTGGAGCGATCCATGTCTCTGTCTTCAGGTCAAATACTATGAAGTCTTCTCCATCATAACCCCACTGATGGAAACCATTAACCTCTCCAGTCTCATCATCCCACTCACAACCATACATCAACTGGACAATGTGGACACCTGAGAGAGAGACAGACAGAAACAGTATTAAACCAGAGTGAGATCACAACACAGTCTTCTATTATCAGTTGAAATCACATCTTTACCACAGAGACACACTGATCCACAGACACCAACACAGAGGATCTACACCTCCTGCTGTTATTGGCTCGATGGAAGACACTCACAGACAATCATCATCTGGACTTCATAGTTGAATCTACATGAATAAAACACACCTCACATGAAGAACTCAGTGAAACATAAACAAACCTCCAGTTTGGTTGAAGCGCTGCTTCGCAGTTTCAATGTTGGTTTTGAAGGTCCGCTGAGCTCTCACAGAGACCTCAGTCTCCCTCTCCCAGTACTGAGGATCCTCGGCTGTGACTCTGCTCATCCAGTCCTGTTTGGGTTCTGCCCTACTGGTGTTACTGTCATAGTGAACTGTCTGAAATTCATCAACCAACCCAACAGTAACAAACTCTGGGAAGTTTGGGACTCCAGAAGACGCAGTGAAGATATACTTCAGAGAGTGAGTCACTGTAAGAAAACATTAATGTAACATTTCACTTTTATAAATCACTGAACAATGTTATTGTCCTGCACACAATCAAAGAGAACTACAGTACATTCAAAACATCCTAATAATCTCTGTTGTGCAGTCAGTTAACACAGAAATACATTTATAGATGAAGATTTTGCTCCTGAAACTATTTACTTATTAGATAGTAATATTTAATATTTAATATTTCTGATGAATCTGTCTTGAAAATTTTTATTTATTCTGAAATAAAATGTCAAACAGGTCAAATATTTAGTGCAGGGGCGCCAGCTCTACCAGGTGAGCTGTCCAGGCAGCCGTGCACTAAATGTTGTATCAAGGATGAGTCCTTGCTGCAGCGGCCCTGGGTTCGAGTCTGATCTGTAGCCCTTTACTGCATGTCATCCCCCCTCTCTCTCTCCATTTGCTGTCACAATTGATTAAAGGCAATAAAAGTTTATTTTATATATATATGAAATAATAATAATAATGTATGTGTTAAGTTTTGTTAAGAGAGTAAATCAATTCCCTGTCAATATATCAAATGCCAAAATATTGCTAAAAATATTTCTAGATGATGATAGAAATAACATCTGATATTTAGGTCAGGTATTTTTTTTTATGTATAGAAATTGAACAGTAGCATTTCATTTTTTTTTTTTGTGACCTTTTGTGGCATTTTTGAACTTTTTCCAGTTACTTATTGACACGTACACAGATACAGGAACTAAACATCACAGGCCATCAACTGACTCACCTGCTGCTGCACCTTGTAGACTGATTCCCAGGAGAGCCAGAAACATCAGGGTCTTCATGGTGAGTTCAGACATTTTGATAAACGTCTTTAATGTGTATTCATACTGATAAAGAGTCACTGTGGTTCCAGTTCGAGCACCAAGGGTTAAGTGACACAGAGAAGTACTGCGGATGTGGTCTGCAGGAAGGCGGGACCGGATTGGCAACCGGTGCATGTCATTATGAATTATATGGTACCAATGTCCACAGAACAATTTCTAATCCTTACAGTATCCATGTAAATTGTTTAACATATAAATGTTTATTACTGTTGTTGATTTTAATAATTTAATATTCCTTTTAAAACTTCTCATTAATGTACGGATTAGTCACACAACGTCACAGTGCATTATACTGCGTCTCACTATGTAGGCCTAAGTGCTACTCCACCACACACAAACAGAACCACAGCTGAGGTTGAAATTTAAAGTGTGTGTGAGAGGATGGGGGGGGGGGGCATGTAGGCATTTTGGTGTTTCAAGGTTGTTCACATATGAGAGGAGAATTAAACCTTCTGCTGCTCAGATCTTGTACTATGTTTTGTAAGTTAATGTGATGTAACATGCAGAAATGTATTTATTTCTGGGAGGTCAGAGGTCCATTCAATTCAATTCAATTAAATTTTATTTGTATAGCGCCAATTCAGAACAGAAGTTATCTCAGGAGACTTTTCAAATAGAGCAGGTCAAGACCATACTCCTTATAAAATGATTTACAGAGACCCAACAGTTGCATGAGCAAGCACTTGGTGTCACTGTCAGCTACAGATCAGACACTCTGCAGTTTGTGTGGATGCAGCAGTGTCTTATTGCTGTTTCAGAGCTCCCTCCAGTGATGTGGAGCAGTACAGTTTCTCAGTGTGGACTGTTATTATCTGTTATTTAAATACATCTGTGTGCAACAGACCATCTGGTTGTTAAATGAGATGGAGGGGAACAGTTCAGGTCTACTCACTGGTCTTGGCACAGAATAGGACGACTATCAGAACAGACGATATGATCAAACACACAATAGTTTATTTGTAAAAGGTTGAGGTACAAGTAAAACTTCATTTTTACTGACTTAAAGTTAATATGCTGTTACAACAAAAGGCTGAAATAAAATGAGAGTGTGACATTTTTCTTCATCAGTGTGTGAACAGATGTACTGACATCATCTGTGGTGCATTGTTATGCATCACTTAAACATTATGACTGGAAGAAAATGTTTAAAAATATTGTTTTACGATATTTTACTTTCCAGTATTGTATCGATTGTTGTGGTTAAACCCCCAACGGCTAGATAGCAGTGTTATAAATATAAACTGAGGGCTCTGATGTTCTAGTGATAAATACTAATGCAGGTCTCAATGTTCTGGTTGCATTAAAAACTTTTTAACTCAGATTTTAGGTATATGGTGGTGTGTTCTTTATACCATGACAGTTTATACCAGACCTAAAATTGTACTTTTAAAATGAAATCGTAATATATTGTCTAGCTTACAGTATCGTAATATAGCACAATATATTGTACTACATCAATTTACATTAAAATAAGATAAACAACCCTAACCATCACCAATTCAAGATAGAATTTAATTTATTAACTCTTTCAATAAACACACACCCTTGCATCATTCCTCCATCTCACCAAATACACTCACTTAACACTCACACTGAAGGTGTGAAAAAACTTCCTGACAACTTGTTTCTCTATAGCAAATGAATTTCTGCTTCAGTTTTCAAGTGTATGTTGCACTCTAGTGGAAGGTTACAGAAACACACATCTGGTCAGTGTGTAAGTGAAACAGACGATAACACGATAACCAAAGAAATTGTAGGAGTCAGAGTGGAACTGACAAAAGGGATTTATTTACAGCTTACTGATGCTTGCAATCATACAACAGTATATAGAGAGGGTGGGACAAGGTGGGTGTGCTTAACAAATAGAATAAAAATGACTAAACTACAAACAGACAATAGACCCCGTATAACCCCCCAAAAAAATAGAGGTTTCACCGACCAATAACAAACCAAGAAATGTTCTAAGAGTTTCAAAGATTTTCTTTTCTTGCTGCTCAAAAGTGAAAAAATAAATAAAAAAAAAAATGTCACATCAATGAATGAATAACAATTATTGATTGTCTGTATAGAAGCCAAATTCACATTGTGCTCAAAGACAACAACCCTATTTCCAGTTAGGGTGAGTTATTACATTATCATTATGACTCTTAAATAATGTTAAACCAGTGAATCCAGTACACCCCAAACATTATTTTACAGTTTGTTGTTTTTGTTTGTTAACACTGATACTATGTATTTATCAAAAATATCTGACTAAATATTAAATATGGTAAGTATGACCTCAACACATGAGCACATGGCAGAGACAAGGATGTGAGGTTTGGTCTTAAATAAGATTGTTAGGACAGGACGGCGAGAGAGGCAAAACGTTTCAGCCATTTAAGTCATAAAATAATGTTTTAGACAAGTTTTTTTATTAAATTTCAGTTATTTTTATGTCCTTTAAATTCATATTTTCTGTGTCTGCACATCCTGGTACTTCCAGTGTAGCTGATTCTGCGGAGTTATCCGGTTCTGTGGTTGACTCCTGGGAATCAGCTTGTTGTTGTGAAGCTAATGATTGCGTTCTTTGTCACTGCAATTAGAAATTATTAAGGAATTCATAAAAGGACACAAAGAAAAACCTGTGCTTAGTTCATATTGTCACTATCACTGGGGCGACGTAGCTCAGTGTGTAGGGACCTCTGTCGCCGGTTCAAGTCCCACAGACCACAGTATGGAGTGTGGACTGGTAGCTGGAGAGTTGCCAGTTTCACCTCCTGTGCACTGCTGAGGTGCCCTTGAGCAAGGCAACTTTACCCCAAGAAACTGCTCATGGTGAGCTGCTAATGTGGCTGCCCATCACTCCACCACTCTCTCTCTCTCAATGTTTGCATGTCCACAGTCCCTGCATATGCATCGTGTGTGTATAAAATAAAAAACAGTGAAAAGAAGAATTTCTCCAACAGGGGATTAATAAAGTATATATCGATCTATCACTAGAGAGGTTAAAAGTATTATCAAATACAATACTCACATTGGAGGTCTGTCCAGCATGACATTTCTTTCGCCAGATAAAGTATCCAGTGATGAAAGCTGCCACAACGACGAAAACTGCTGCAGCAACACCTCCAGTGACACCACCGTCGGAGGATGCTGGAGAAGAAACTGGAACTAAACCAACAGAACAAACTTTTATCACAAGCCCATTTATACTATTATTGTGTGGTTCTGAAAGAGTTAAATAACAGCTCATTTCTGATTATGCTCAAAACATAATTATAGCCCTGCTCAGAAAGAGATAACATAGTATAGTTTGACATTTGGGGAAATAAGCTTTTAGAGGTAGAGGAGAATATTGATACCACTCTCATATGTTAAACATTAGACTAAAGCCAGCAGCTTAACTTAGCCCAAGAATGGAGACAGGGGAAACAGCTAGCTCTGTCTGAAGGTAACAAAATGTACCTACCAGCATCTTTAAATGTTTAACTAATGAACATGTCATGTTTCATTAATTTAATCTGTGCAAAAACTGATATGTAAAAACGACAAGTGGTGAACTGAAAGAATTGGTTAAACTGCAAAAACAGGGCTCAAAGTGTCGGCCACAACTGAACTCATTGTCTCCACAGCAACATCTTACTTTCATCAACCAAAGCATGGTGGGAAATGTAGCTCTACAACTCACCACGTTACTAAATGAGAGTTTGTTTCAGTCTTACCCCAGTTGGTTCTGATCTTTGCTTTGTCCAGTTTGGTGACGATGTCGTTCTTCACACCAGAGAGCTGAAACACACAGTCGTACCTCCTCCAGTCTTCAGGTGTGACTGATGAAAGGTTCAGGTCAACACTCATCTGGAAGGATCCATCGTGGTTGACGAGGATCTCTCCGTGGTCCACGTCCTCATGAAGCTCCTCTCCATCTTTCCTCCAGATGAGTGTGGCTCTGTCAGGGTAGAAACCTGTAGCGTGGCAGCTGACTGGAGAGGAGGGAGTCTTCTGGAGGAGAGACACTGAGGGAAGCTCTGGAGAGAGAGAGAGAGAGAGAGAGAGAGAGAGAGAGAGAGAGAGAGAGAGAGAGAGATATGTGTGTGTTAATGAATATAGCTGGATTATAGCTCTACAGTAGCTCTATATGTATATATGACACATATGTCCATAGAGTACGTAAGGTCATGTGATTCTACCTGTTCTCTTCAAAGTGTTGTTCGCATAGTCCAAATACTTCTTCAGCCAGTCAGAACAATTTGTGAGATGCAAGATAATGTTTTTTATTCTCTCTTTGTCTCTGTCCCACTGAAGTTTGGTGTAGCTAGCTTGTGGATGAGTTGAAGGGATCCATGTCTGTGTTATTGGGTTGAACTCCATGAAGCCTTCTCCATCATAACGGTACTCATCCGAAGTATAAACCTGGTCTTCCCACTCACAGCCATAGATCCTCTGGAAAGTGTGGATGTCTGAGAGAGAGACAGATACAGTAACCTATTGGGAGCTCATAATACAGTACTATCTTATTGAGTCCAAACATTTTACAACAGTTTAAAACTTCATCCGTATGCCAACGGTCCAGTAAGATTTTGCCAGCACTGCACTGATTTTGTTATTGGGAAGGTGTGCAATCATTAAAAAAATGAATGATAATTAATAATTCCCCTCAAATGCACTAAACTAAAGTAATGAGTCTGTTTTGAAAATGTAGAAGTTAAGGATTTTCAGTTAGAAATGTCAGAAAAATAAGTAAAGTGCAGATACTTAAAAAAACAAAACATACATTAATAAAGTATTTGTAATTCATTACTTTGCACCACTGGATATTGTTCATATTACAATGTTTAAGTACTAAACATGTAAATTACCTCCAGTTTGGTTGAACTTCATCAAACTGTCAATAGTGGAATTCAAGAAGTGTTGATTAACACGACACTCGTCAGTGTACCAGTCCCTGTGTCCTGGATCATCTTCCATTAGTCTCTTCATCCAGTCCTGTTTGGGTTCAGCTCTCTTGATGTTGCTGTCGTAGTGAACAACCTCAACTCCATCAACCATTACAGCACCAATTAACTCTGGGAAGTTTGTCACTCCAGAAAATCCAGCAAAGAAAAACTTCAGGGAGTGTTCCTCTGTAAGAAACACAATGTTTAATGGGTTTGACTTAACATTTCCTTTTTTATGTAAAACTAGGAAAAAATATAACTACACTGATGTTATTTGTAACGTCTATTGAAGTAAATAATTCCTTAACTGTGCACCAAAGTGCAGAGTTTTAGTGGGACAAACATAAAATTGCATCTGATGTAAACATACCCCAGTTGGTTCTGATCACAGCCTTATCCAGTTTGCTGACGTTGTCGTCCTCGTCACCGAACTTAAACACACACTCGTAACTCCCCCAGTCTTCAGGTATGACTGGTGGGACTTGGTCAACACTCATCTGGAAGGTTCCATCGTTGTTTGGGAGGACCTCCGCACAATCTTCAATAGGAAGCTCCTTTCCATCTTTCCTCCAGAACAGTGTGGCTCTGTCAGGGTAGAAACCTGTAGCGTGGCAGCTGACTGGAGAGCGGGGAGTCTTCTGGAGGAGAGACACTGAGGGAAGCTCTGCAGAATAAAGAGAAAGAGACAGAAAAATATGGATCTGTGCAGTGGTTCTCAATATGTTGCTTCACATTGAGACATGTGAACAGTGATTCTACCTGTTCTCAGCAGGGAGCTCTTCCCATAGTCTAAATACTTGCTCAGCAACTGAGGACAATGCTGGGTGAGGTTAAACTTAATGTTGTTTATTGTAGCTTTGTCACTGTCCCACTCCTGCTTGGTGATGAAAGCCTATGGTGTTGAATTGTTCCATTCCAGTGTCTGCAGGTCTAACCATATGAAGTCTTCTCCATCATATTTAAACTCATCATAACCAATAACTTCTGGAGTTTTATCCTCCCAGTCACAGCCATAGATCCTCTGGAAAGTGTGGACGCCTAAAAGAGAGACAGAGACTGCAGTAAACCAGAGCGAGAGTCCATCAAAGTTATTTTCAGCTCATCATGTTTATCATCATAAAATCATCATCAAATTATATCCTGAAGATGACAAACAATCGACCAGCTATGGTGGAATGGAAATCAGTGCATTTAATGTACAAGAAGTGTACTTTAGTGCAATTTTGACTTACTTGTATTTGAGTGTTTTTATTTTATTTACTTCATACTTGCTTTATAATTCAAAGAGAAATATTTTACTTTTACATTTTACTTGTTACTTTCAGATTAAGAATTGAAAAACATTATACAGTTTATACAATCTGATGAGATTAAACTATTTGACATTGTATAAAGATGCTCAAATGATCTACACCCAATATTATAATATTAGTATTAGTATGTATATACATTTATAGTATAGTATACTTCTTAAGAGCTCCACCATTATCAATCAATAAGACCATTGTAAACAGGAAACTTATACACCAATATACCTCTTGTTTGATTGAGGTCCTGAATCAAACTGTCAATAGTGGAACTGAAGAAGCGCTGATTAACATGACACTCGTCAGTGTACCAGTCCCTGTGTCCTGGATCAACTTCCATTAGTCTCTTCATCCAGTCCTGTTTGGGTTCAGCTCTCTTGATGTTGCTGTCGTAGTGAACAACCTCAATTCCATCAACCATCACAGCACCAATGAACTCTGGGAAGTTTGTCACTCCAGATAATCCAGCACAGAAAAACTTCAGGGAGTGTTCCTCTGTAGGGGAAATACATTTTCAGGTTTCTGAAATACACTTTTTATATTCTTTTTGTATGATTATCTAAAAGGAAGAACACACATTTATTCATGAGTTTTGTCATATTTATTCAAGGCTCATCATTTGGAGTTTGAACCAATGATCTACCCAAAGTAAATGAGTAAATATATTATTTACTTTGAATCGGGTGCTCATTTATTGTGAACGTGTGAAAACTGTAGCAGGAAACTTATTTTCTTTCTCTGCACTTTCTCTTTTGCGTGCAGATTGATTGCTTGTGCAAAGGACAGTTTCCTGTGACCTGCGGTGAACAGTTTTCTGTTCCCACACACCCCAAAACATCAGCAGGGAAAAGCTCTTTTACTGAAGTGATTTCATTTACCGTAAACTGCAGTTCCCATAAACCCAAAGGAATGCACACAAAACCAAACTGTATACTGGTACTGGTGTGAATGCTCTTTTGAAGGTACTGTAATTTCACACACTAATTCTGCTCTACACAGGAGCTCATGGGCCAAATGAAACTGCTGTAACAGAAAGAACTTAAAATGTTGTCAAAAAATGACACAAAAGGAGCAACATAAATAACTTTATCTTTGTTTGAGAAAGAAGAAGAACCAAAGAGTTGGTAGAATCAACTGATGTTAACTTTGTCTTCAGTGCAATGATGTTTCCTGGTTCACTGACTGAGTCTTTGTTCTCTGGAAGATGAGGTGTCCTGTCACAGACAGATGCAGAAAAACTAATCCATGCATTTGTTACTTCTAGTCTGGATTACTGTAACTCCTTATTATCAGGTTGCCCCAATAAGTCCATTCAGACGCTCCAATTAATTCAGAACGCTGCAGCACGAGTACTGACAGGAACTAGAAAAAGAGATCACATCTCTCCTGTACTAGCTTCTCTGCATTGGCTCCCTGTAAAATTCTGAATAGAATTTAAAATCCTCCTCCTCACCTTCAAAGCTCTTCATGGTCAGGCCCCTTCATACCTTAAAGAGCTCGTGGTACCCTATTACCCCTCTAGAACACTGCGTTCTCTGAATGCTGGGCTACTTGTGGTTCCTATAGTCTCTAAAAAGTAGAACAGGAGCCAGAGCCTTCAGTTACCAAGCTCCTCTCCTGTGGAACCAGCTTCCAGTTGTGGTTCTGGAGGCAGACACCCTCTCCACATTCAAGAGTAGGCTTAAGACATTCCTCTTTGATAAAGCTTATAGTTAGGGCTGGATCAGGTGAGTCCTGAACCATCCCTTAGTTATGCTGCTATAGGCCTAGACTATCGGGGGGATTTCCCATGGTGCACTGAGCTCCTCTCTTCCTCTCTCTCTCTCTTTCTGCACTCATTCATGTCCCATTAATTCACATTACTAACTTCACTTCTTCCCTGGAGTTCTTGTGCTTTCTCGTCTCGCAGGTTCT